GGTGGCTCACAACCATCTGTAATGGGGTCTAGTGCCCTCTTCTGGCCAGCAGGCATACAGAATATTGTATAAATAATAAATAAATAAATATTTAAAAAAAATAAAATATGTGTTCTAGAGTTCTACAGAGACACTACGGGAGGCTTTGGGGAAGATGAATAACCCACTTTTTAAATTTGTTATATTATTTTTAACAGTACTGGAGATTGAACCTGGGACTCTGAGTATACAAGCTAAACCTCCTACTACTGAGCCACATTCCCCAAATCTTTTTTTTTTTTCCTTTTATTTTGAGACAGAGGCTAACTAAGTTACTCAGGCTAGTCTTAAACTAGTGATCCTCCTGCCTCAGTATCCCAAGTAGCTAGGATTACAGTCCTGAGCCCCACAAGGGTGCCCATCTTTGAACCCCAGTAGCTCTGCTTACTACCTACCTGGGGCCACTCTTCTAGCCTCTCCACGGTAAGTACTGTTAGAAACCCCTCCCTCCGGGCATTGCTCATGGTCAGGGCTTGACAAAGTTCAGCATGGATCCTCCCATCCTAAGGCAATTTCCATGCACAGACCATCATCTTTTGTGGAACTGTGGCTCTGCTTGGACCACACTAACAGTTTCTGGCTCCTATCAGTTGCAAGATTCCATTCCCCACTCTGCCCTGTTTCCCCCGCAGTGACTCACTGAGTCCAGGGCGGTGCACTTCTCGAAGGGTGTGGGTCATGCCAGCCTTGTAGCCCAGGAAAGCCGTGAGATGCACAGGTTGGCTGGGGTCATCCCGTGGCCAGCTCTTCACCTTGCCCCTGTGCCTCCGGCTCCTCTTGTGGGGCAGGAAGCCCAGGTGTCCATGTCGAGGGGCAGAGAACTTCCGGTGGGACTTGGGATAGGATAGGATAGGAGAAAAAGGAGTTCAGAACTGGGATCTCCCTGGGGTGGCTTCAGGATGATCCAGGAGACTCAGCACCCCAAATACAATGTGAACTAGAGGCCTGAGGGAGGGGTCCAGGCAGTCCTCCGTGCTACCCCATCAAATTATGCAAATGATGCAGGGTTAGGGACGGGGTCTCTTTAAAATCACAGACTTCCTGCTCTTGTGAACTCAGGCTGGCGAGGCCTGGATGGATCAAAGACTGTAAAGTAGTGTGTCAAGAGCAGGTGACTACCGTGACCTCTCCTTCTCACGCCCCTTCCAGACCCAAAGCGCGGCCCCTGGCCCTTTGCTATCTCTTCAGACCCATTCCTCACAGCTCCAGGGCTGCCCCTTCCCCCTCCCCTGGAAGGCCAGTTTGTTCAGAAGGTAGCCCCAGCCCACTGACCATGGCCGGTCCCTGCAGGTCAGGAAGGGGCCTCCCCACAGGGCACCAGAGGTAGAATGACAAGGCCAGAACACTCAGCTGCCACATCCCAGATTTAGCACCTGGCAGGCTCCTTGGCTGGCTCCTAGAGCCAGCATGGCCTTTGGTGCCAGGAACAAACCTGGGAGGGGCATTAGATGGGCAGTCTACAGTGGCAAGAACACCTGGGACCAGGGATCGTATTTTTTTCTTCCAGGGGCCTGGGGGATAACTCTTCAAGGACAGGCAACTGTGGCCTGATGAGGGTCCTGTTCTCAGGTCACAGCCAGAAGGAAAATCTGAGTCCGGTACAGAGGTCTCCTGCCCGGAGAGTTGCAAGCTAGAGCTCTCTATCACCATGATTGATTCTGCAGCGATAGCTCAGCCGTTAAGAGCATTAGCTGCTCTTCCAAAAGACCCAGTTCAATTCCCAGCACAGGGGAATTGTGTGGCCGCTCACACTGTCTGTAACTCCAGTCCCTGGGGATCTGGCATTCTCTTCACCACCGTGAACACTGCAAGCATGCACGTGGGGCAAAGACATACATGCAGGCAAAACACTCACACACAAAATAAAACTTTAAAAAAAACCTCACCAGGCGGTGGCAGTGTGCGCCCTTTCATCTCCGCACATCCGGAGGCAGAGACAAGCAGATCTCTGTGAGTTCAAGGCCAACTTAGTCTACAGCACAAGTTCCAGGACAGGCTCCAAAGCTACAGGAAAACCCTGTCTCAAAAAAAAAAATAATAATAATAAGATAAATAAATAAAGGCATCATAATCAAAATCAACTTGAGAAGGACAACATTTATTTGGCTTACATGTCCTAATCACAGCCTATCATTGAGGGAAAACTGAGGCAGAATTCAAGTCAAAAATTTGAAGGCAGAAACTGAAGTAGAAGACGGGGTGGTGGCATATGCCTTTAATTCCAGCACTTGGGGGAGGCAGAGGCGGACAGGTCTCTGTGAGTTCGAGGCCAGCCTGGTCTACAGAGCTAGTTTCAAGACAGCCAAGGCTACACAAAGAAACCCTGCCTTGAAAAACAAAAAACAGAAAGAAAGAAAGAAAGAAAGAAAGAAAGAAAGAAAGAAAGAAAGAAAGAAAGAAAGAAACTGAAGTAGAGGCCATGAAAAAATGCTGCTCACTGGCTTGCTCTTCATGACTGATTCAGCCTTTCTTATAGAACCGGGACCATCCACAATGGTCTGGGTCCTCCCACATCAGTCATTAATCAAGAAAATGCCCTACAGCCTATCTATAGCCAGTATGATGGAAGCATTTTCTCAGTTGAGGCTCTCTCTTCCCAGATGACCCTGGCTTGTGTCAAGTTGACATGAATCTAGCCAGAACAGGTACTTGAATGAATTTGTTTTCATGTTTCTTTGCTTCTTTGTATCAGGGTCTTCTGCATCACAGGCTGGCCTGCAACTTAGTATATAGGTAAGGATGACCTTGAATTTCTGATCCTCCTGCCTCCACTTCCCAAGGGCAAGTGTTGGGATTATAGTTATGTATTATGTATTACCATGTCTGGTTTACACAGTGCTGGAGATTAAACCTAGGGCTTTGTGCATGCTAGGCAAGCACTCTATTACCTGAGCTACTCTCTTAGCTCTGATATTCTTTGTTTCTTCCTTTCTCTCTTCCTTTCTTTTTTCCTTTGGTTTTTGGAGACAGTCCTTTTATTGTGTAGCCTTGCTTGGCTGTCCTGAAACTTGCTCTGTAGACCAGGCTAGCCTCAAACTCAGAGATCCATCTGCCTCTGCCTCCCAATTACTGAGATTAAAGGCATTTGCTACCACCACCCCACAAATTATATAAGTCTTTTTGGTTTTTAGAGACCAGGTTTCTTTGTGTAGCCTTGACTGTCCTGGAACTAGCTCTATAGATCAGGCTGACCTTGAACTCAGAGATCCACTTGCCTCTACCTCCCAAATGCTGGGATTAAAGACGTGCACCACCACTGCCTGGCTCCCTTTTTTTAAATTAAATTTTATTTTATGTGGGGGAGGGGGAGCAAAAGGGGAGGCGGCGGTGGGGAAGAGACAGAAATCTTTAATAAATAAATAAATAAAATAAAATAAATTTATTTTATGTGTATGGGTGTTTTGCCTACATGTATACCTGTAAATCATTTGCCTGCCTGGTGTCCTTGAAGACCAGAAGAGGGCATCAGATCCTCTGGACTTGGATTTACAGCCGGTTACAAACCGAGTGATGGATATCAAATCCACGTTCTCTGGAAAACCTCTTTTTCAGTTTTCTCTGGAAAACTGCTAAGCCATCTCTCCAGCTCCTTTTTCTTTTGAGAAAAGGTCTCACATTATAGCCTATCTGGCCTTGAACTCTTGGCAATCCTTCTACCGTGGCCACCAAAATGGCAGGCAGGTTTACAGGCGTGAACCTACACATCTGGCTCTCCAAACTGGTCTTGAACTCCTGGACTCGAATGATCATCCCTTGTGTAGCTCCTCCCACAGGTTTGTGCTACTGGTGCCCGCCTCTGCCTCCAGAGTGCTGTGATTAAAGACGTGTGCCCCCCCCCCCCCGCGTTATTTTTCAGTCCTGAGAGTCTATTGTTACAGAATCAAGGTTCTATAGTTGTAGAATCACCGAGTCCATCAGGCTTAAAATATCCTCAGGGACAACGGTTTTGCATTAGGTACTAAAATTCTATGCTACCAGCCGGGCATTGGTGGCACACGCCCTTAATGCCAGCACTCGGGAGACAGAGGCAGGTGGATCTCTGTGAGCTCAAGGCCAGCCTGGTCTACAAGAGCTAGTTCCAGGATAGGCTCCAAAGCTACACGGAAACCCAGTCTTTGGGGAAAAAAGATTCTGTCTATGCTACCAAAATGTTAAGACTTGTGGGTCTGACTTTAGTGTCATAAACTGATTTTTGTGTAATACTAGATTTGGTAAGTCACCGCAGCTGATAGCTCTATGTTCTTAGTCCCCAACACTGGCAGGAGGTGACCAGCACCAAGATGACAGGTAAGGATTTCCACTACCCAGGCTGCAAAACTAGTTCTAAACACGTAAACTCAGAGTTTGGGCAGTACAGTCCTGGGCAGTGGACAGCTGGGGGCACAAGAGCTGAAGACTAGAGAAGAACCCCCAGAAGCAGGGAAAGGTACTCCGTGCCTAGGGTAGGAGACCCTTTTCCCCCACAGACTACAATGGGACAAGCCCCGACTTTTCAGAGAAGCCCCCAGGTTCACCTGCACCCACCAGCAGAGCCAGTAACAGGCCAGACGGCTGGGCAGTCCAGAGTGGCTTCCTGGAGTAGTGAGGGCGTTTGCTGTTTCTATTACTCGTTGATTTGTGTGTGTTCTCTTGCCAAGTCGTGTTCTACTTGCTCCCTGCTGACTTAGCTGGTGGTTCAGGGAAGAGCATTTCCTAGCGTCTGGTGAACTTTGCCTTTGTGCAATAGCGCTGGGAACCACAAGGGGGTGCCCGAGAGGCTGGCCACGATCCCGTGGTGCCCCGCGGCTACGCACTGCGCAGGCGCGGTGCCGCCTTTCCGCGCAGGCGTAGAGGTCTCCGCGTCCTCAGGCCGGGCTGGTCCGGACACGGAGCGAAATTGAAGGTCTGCGGGGAGGGCTTGCTGCAGCCATGCCGGACTCTTGGGACAAGGATGTGTACCCTGAGCCCCCGCGCCGCACGCCGGCTCCCTCGCCACAAACCTCGCTCCCCAACCCCCTGACCTACTTTATGAAGGCCTTCGATCTCGTCGTGGACCGGCCCGTGACCCTCGTGAGAGGTACAGGGTCTAGGATTCCGCCCGCTCAGTAGCTCCTGGTCCCCCACGGATCCCACGTCCAGTTCCCGTCCCCAGGAACCACCACCCGGTGCACGTTGCTGCCCCGCATCCAGAGCCCCCGAGTCTAAATCGATTCTTTTTCCTTTTCCAAATTGTCTCTTAACCTTCCCAGTGCACTTATGACACTGAATCTGAGACACCCCGGAACCGAGCCGTCACCTTTTGTTTCCCCGCTGCACCCCAGACCACTTCCCAGGCCCTCCCGTCGCCCCCGCGGAATAGTCCCCTTTGCGGGACTACACCCTGCCCATAATTCTTTCTGCCTTCAGCAGAACCCTGACTACTCTCGACCCTGGTCGCTCTTTTAAACGGTAGTAGCGGGAAGCCGGGCGGTGGTGGCAGGGTACAGGTGGTGGTAGGCCGGTGATGAGTTCGAAGCCAGACTGATCTAAAGAGCGAGTTCCAGGACGGCTAGGGTTACACAGAAAAACCCTGTCTTGAAACGAAACAAAACGGTAGTGGTCAGGAATCTAGCCCACCACCGGTCATCTCTGTGTCACGAGTAGCCGGTCAGTAAGCCCTGGTTGAAATGGACAGTGTTGTCCATCTGCATGGGCAGGGTGTTCATTCGTTCTTTTTGGGTCACAGCTTCATTTGTCCAAAGTTTGTGTTTTAAATGACTGCTCTTTATCCCTGGTCCCAGAGAGTGCTCCATTCAACCCTTGATGCCCCCCCCGTTTGCCAGCATGGTAAACAGTTGGGACATGCTGGGCACTATGTCCAGTCGACTAAGCGGCTCATCTGTTAAGCATTTGGGGTACAGAGCATACTCAGGTGGTTGTTTTTGCTTTTCCCTCTTCCAAGTGTTGAGGCTCTGCTAAGGTAAATTCTTTGATACAGCACCTTCATTATTGTCCAGGACAACATAGCAAATACTTTTGTCAGCTTCCCAGACAAGTCACTGCCCCAGGTTTACAGATGGTCCTTGGCTTAGGAAAAGTTAAGTTTTCAAGACAGTGCCAGGTGGATTACTGCATTAAGGTCAGCTCATTTTTCAGTAACATTTTAGGATGTCTAAACGCGTGTGTGAACCCTGTGCTCTTTAACTAACCAATGGAAAACATTGGGTCCTACTGCTGAATTCCCAATGGAGCTTCCTTGCCTATTCAAACCCTGTCTGTACTGTGGGGCACATAGGCCCAACTGCGTTCTAAATTCCCAGCTATCTCTTGTATATAAGGACCTGCCCTCTAAGGTGGCTAGGGGCACGAGGTGAGATCTGCCACTGAAGGTGCCTGTTACTGTAAAACCTTGGGACTTCAGAGTTTGAGGTGTTTCTCTTTGCAGAGTTTATTGAGCGACAACATGCCAAGAACCGATTCTACTACTATCACCGGCAGTACCGACGTGTGCCAGACATCACGGAATGCAAAGAGGGTGATATCCTGTGTATCTTTGAAGCTGAGATGCAATGGAGAAGGGACTAGTAAGTTCACAGTAGGGAACAATTGACTGGATGGCTTTATCCAGTATACCCCCTTCTTATAAAGAACCCAGACGAACTGGAACAAGGCTCCATCCTTTCAAATTCTTGACAGTCACTGCTAGCCCTTGTTCTTTCAGCAAAGTTGACCAGGAAATTATTAACATCATCCAGGAGAGACTTAAGGCTTGTCAACAGAGAGAAGGAGAGAACTCAAAGCAGAACTGTGCCAAGGAACTGGAGCAGTTCCACAAGGTGGCTAAAGCCTTCCATGACCGCTGTGAGTGACCCTCAGCTCTTTCCAGGGTTTGGGATCTTTTTTTTTTTAAAGATTTATTTATTACGTATACAACATTCCTTGCATGTATGCTTGCTTGTCAGAAGAGGGCACCAGATCTCATTACAGATGGTTGTGAGCCACCATGTGGTTGCTGGGAATTGAACTCAGGACCTTTGGAAGAGCAGTCAGTGCTCTTAACCTCTGAGCCATCTCTCCAGCCCCAGGGTTTGGGATCTTATGGCTTTTCCTAGCTGCTAAAACCTCACCCAAATTCCCATCCTTTAACATTCCCACCCCATCTCTTCTACAGATTATGACCTGGGAGCCTATTATTCTGCCAGAAAGTGCTTGGCAAAGCAGAAGCAGAGGATGCTGGAAGAGAGAAAGGCTGCTAAGCAATCGGCTGCTACCTAGGACTCCAAGAACTCTCGTGACTGGGTGCACCCTATTTTATTGTCCTCTAAAAAAATGCAAGAGACAAATAAATGTTAACAGACTTAATTCACTTTTATTTTCCTTGTATAAAAACCCTTATGTGGTGGCCACAGCTGGAGCCTGGGTCCTCTGAACAGAGACTCTGGTGTGGTTTTTCACAAGATGGTCAGTGAATTCCTAAAAAGAGAAGTAGAATACAATTAATTAATGTATTAATACAATTAATACATTCCCTACTCTTGAAGGAAGTCAAAGCCAGCAAACACAACACCAGCTGAATCAGTATACCTGATAAGGAGACTTGGTGAACACAGTCTCTTTCCAGAGGTCGGGGGTCAGGTAGCTGTAGGTCTTAGAGATGGCATCAAAGGTGGCCTTGGCTGGGAAAAAAAAAAAGAGAAAAGGGTTGGTGGCTTGATTTCTGAAGATAAAAGTCCCTCCCACTAAGGAGCTGTTGCACTCCTAGGAGCAGAGTCAGTCACTTTGGTGACAGGTCCAATCTCCATCCCTTAAAAACACACCAAGCACCCATGCCCTGTGTGTGATCCACCTACCAAAGTTGCCCAGGGTGGCAGTGCAGCCCCTGGCTGATGTGTAGCAGTCATCGATGCCAGCCATCATCAGTAGCTTCTTGGGGACAGGAGCAGAGACTATGCCAGTGCCTCTGGGGGCAGGGATGAGACGCACCAGCACAGAACCACAGCGACCTGTCACTTTGCAAGGAACAGTGTGGGGCTTGCCAATCTTGTTCCCCCAGTAGCCTCTCCGCACAGGGACAATGGAAAGCTTGGCCAAGATAATGGCCCCACGGATGGCAGTGGCTACCTCCTTGGAGCACTTGACACCGAGACCTACGTGACCATTGTAGTCCCCAATAGCAACGAAAGCCTGTGAAGAGGAGACTTAGGTGGAATGGCTGGTGGTGTTTCACAGAACCAGCATATCTCGACGCTAGGATCTGTGGTGCTCCTCTAGGCAAGAGAGGCCACTGGGAGGCCAATCCAAGGTACTTGAGGAACTCTTTTTCTCTCTCTCCCGGTACGAAAGTCACACGGGTGAAACCTAGTGTGACTATGCAGAGTGAGAGAGTTTTGCTCAACCCCACCATTTAATCTTAAACCTTCACCCTGCCAAAGAACAGACTTGAATACCTTGAACCTGGTCCGCTGGCCTGCCCTAGTCTGCTTCTGCACGGGCATGATCTTCAGAACCTCATCCTTTAGGGAAGCTCCCAGGAAAAAGTCAATAATCTCAGATTCCTAAAACAGAAAGTTTGTGGGAAACATGTCAAACATGTCACTAGATAGTAAAGGAAGCTATTGCCAAGTAGTCGTCTCACCCCGGTAACGGATGTGGCAGCAGAGGTTCATCACGATATCAAACTTCCCACCCCATGCGACGTTTCAGCACCGAGGTGTGTCTGTACCTTAATGGGCAGGGAGAACAGGTAGATCTCCTCTAGGGACTTGATCTTCATGTCCTTAACCAGGCGGCCCAGCTTGGTGACGGGAATCCACTGCAGGAAGACGCCAGTCAAAAGGCTGCCTCACGCAAGAGCGCATGGCCCGGCCCACCCCGTCCATGGCCCAAACCTACCTCCTTGTCTTCAGCTTTACCTCCGCGAGCCCCGCGGCCTCGCCCTCGGCCACGGCCTCGACCACGGCCGCGGCCCCTCAGACCGCTGCCGAATCCTCCGCGGAAGCCGCCACGGCCTCCTAATCCTGGGCCCCCGGGTCCTCCGGACCCTCCCGCTGCACCGGCGTCATCCGCCATTTGCTAGAGACAAAAAGGAAGCAACTCAGCAGGACCCTAAACGCGCGGCCGCTTGGGGTTCCGAAGCCGGTCTTTCCGGCTAGGGGTGTCTCGCTCCGGATGTCCTCGGATTTCCACTGCCCAGGCCCCAGGCCCCACGCCAGCCACAGCCACACAGACTCACGTGTTTTCTAGAAGAAGAAGAAGAGCGAGGGTGCGCGGAAGGGAGTTTTTATAGTGCACCAAGCGCCGCGATATCTCGACTGCCGGCGCAGATCATCCCGAGCTGTAATTGGCTGAGTGTTATCCCGCCCCCGCCACGTTCTCTCTGCGCCTGCGCGTTTCCCTTGCCGAAGCCGCGACGGGCGCCGACGGGGAGAGACTATAAAGAGCTCTCGCGCGCGCCTCTCCGGCCCCGTCGTGCTCACGAGTGCGTCGTCCCGCGCTGTCTGCCAGGTAGGTTGCGCCTCACCGGCCTCTATCCGCGTTCGCTGTTGTCCCGGTAGATGGGCGTTCGTTGAAAATCATCTTCGGCATTGGCTGTGGCCGGAGGTGAGATTCGGCGCCCAGAGCCACAGGGGCCTCAGCTCACCGCCCGCTGCCCCAGTGTGGGAGGGTGAAACCCAGGCCCCTACATTCCGGATCGCCTCGCCGCTCTGGCGGCTTGGCTGGTGCCATCGATCCTAACCACGTCATTTCTCCGCAGGTTCCACCGAATCTGGAGACTGCTACCGCCGCTTCGCCCGCGAAAATGGCAGGGTTCCGGCGTCCTGTTAAATAAAGTGGTTTAACTTTCCGTGTATGTATTTGTGTTTGGGGTGTTCCTTTCGGTTTAAGTGAGATATGCATTCGTGGCCAGGTGTATTGGTCCCAGCAGTCAGCATCTGGAAGGCCGACGCAGTCGGATCTCTTGCAAAACCAGCTTTTTTAAAATGTGTCTTTATTTCGCCTACATGTATGTACGTGTACCATGTGCGTCCCTGATGCCCATGGATATGACATCGGATCCTGTGGAACTGGAGTTTCGTGTAGTTGAAAGCGTCCGTGTGGCTGTTGGAAACCAAACCCAGGTCCTTTGAAAGAACTCCGGTTCTGAGCCATCTCCAGCCCTGCGCATAGCTTTTTTGTTTGTTTGGAGGGAAGGGCTTGGTCTGTGTTCAGTGAAGGCATAGAATTTAACAATCCTGCTTCAGCCTTCCAAATGCTCAGATCACACCTGGGTTTCCAACTGTTTCGGACACTGTCCAGGTAGAATTAGGGAGTTTATGTGACAGCTTTAAGCCGGGTTATATTTTATTTATTTTTTTGAGGCAGGGTTCCTCTGCATAGCTTTGGAGCCTGTCCTGGACCTTGCTCTGTAGACCAGGCTGACCTCAAACTCACAGAGATCCATCTGCCTCCCGAGTAGTGCTGGGATTAAGGTGTGCAACACCACCACCCGGCTATTTTAAAATTATTTAGAAAGTGACCGCCTAGGGACTGAAGAGATGGCTCAGGCTTAAAAGCGCTGGCTGCCTTTTTAGAGATCCCAAGTTTAATTCCCAGCAACCACATGGTGGTTCACAGCCATCTGTAATGAGGTCTGGCACCCTCTTCTGGCCCACAGACAGAACACTATATATATATATATATATATATATATATATATATATATATATATATATATATATATGTTTTTTTAAAAAATGACTGACCTGACCACCTGTGCAAAAAGTGATCTTGAAGGAATGTGTTGGCATCTTTTTCCCTAGGGGTCTGTCCACCCCAAATAGGACACCAGTGATGGCCAAAGTGTGTGACTCCACTGAACTTAAGCTTTGTGAACCAATATTCATTTCACTGAGCATATGCAGCCCCAAAACAGCAGTCCTACCCCATCAGAGATGACCTAGAAGCTGCATGGTGGAGTGACCTTTGTAGTTAGTTTGTGCTTTGGAATCTCCCAAGCCTGCAGCTGAAGGAGCAGATTGTCGTGAATGTCAGCGGCTCCGCTACTGTTCCCGTAGGCCTACTTTGTATTCTGCTTAGTTATGGTTATTTGGCCAATGTGACCTCTATACTAATATGGAGACTGTTATAGTAAAGAAGAAACTGCAATACGTATACTAGAATTTATTAACCAGGTGGTGGTGGTGCATGCCTCTAATCTCAGCACTTGGGAGGCAGAGGCATGTGGGTCTCTGAGTTTGAGGTCAGTCAGGGCTACACAGAGAAGCCCTGTCTCCAAAAGACCAAGGCCTTTTTTGTTTCTTGGTTTTACAGTTAAGTTGAAAAGCTTGGGCTCTTTCACAGGATGGCCTAGTCCTTGGGAAGGGATGTTAATGGAAGAGGTTTCAATCCCTGTGATCCTGCTGGCCTTTGGGAACTAGAAGCTGTTAGCCAAAACCTAGGTGGCAAGGGAGAGACCATAGACTACCCTGAGTTGAGGCTACTCTACTACCACCTTCAGAGGGAAAGGGTAAGGTGGCCCTGGGCCAGAGCTGTGATTGGCCAAAGCTAGACAATGCCACTGTGATGTCAATCCCCATGTGCTGTGAAATGGAGACTCCTGATCACTAAGCTTCAGTGGAGCTGCCGTCCAGACACAGATCATGGTGAGCCCCGGGTCTCTTTCCACCTGCCCTGATGCCATCAGGAATCCATGATATCTCACGCTTGAGAATGGATGCCAGCTGCTTTATGGGACAAGAACACCTTTCAGAAGGCTCTAGGTGGTATAGCCTGAGCTATTCCCAGCCTCTTCAGTCAAATGTTGTCAAATCTTGGGGGAGTCAACTCCCACAGATTCACCCTTGAAGTGGGGTCTGGTCCTTGGAGGCTCTGTAATTGGGTTTCTTCATGTAGCTTGCCTCCCTACCGAAAAAACTGCTGAGGTATCTTGTTGGTATGAGTGCTTGGGGGTGGGAAGCATGGAGCCTGGTCTCACCCAGGCCTTAACACTGACTTGGCCTTTGCAGAGTGGTGGGTACGATCTCAACCTCTTTACCAGCCCTCCTGACTACAACTTCCTGTGTTCCGTCTGCCATGGGGTTCTCAAGAAGCCAATGAGGTTGCCATGCAGTCACATCTTCTGCAAAAAGTGCATCTTCCAGTGGCTAGCCAGGTGCCATTGGGAATCCAGGAGGGCGGGGGGGGGGGGGGGGGGGGGGGGGGGCAACTCCTACAGCCAAGAATGGGAAGGGAAGGGCTATCCAAAATTGGGTTCCAATGGCTATAAGACTCAGCTGCAAAATCTGGGACACTCAGAATATGTGTGCCTCCCTCTCTGGTGTCTGAAGTCCCTAGTCTCAGCTTGGGAGCCACATCCTCACTCTAGCCCCACCCCCATGATGTCTCCTCCAGCCAGAAAGAAGGGACTAGCTGGGTTGCCCCCATGAAGGCTTGCTCTGGAAATCACATGACTTTACCACTCCCAACATCACACTGATACCTCTTTCTAGACAAAATTCCTGTCCATGCTGTAGACAAGAGGTGAAAAGAAGAAAGATGGTCCAAGTGAATAAACTCCGGAAAACCATTGGTCGCCTACAAGTCAAGGTAGTTCAGGGCATCCATCCACTCCTGTCCTGGGGGGTGGAGCAGAGCCAGAAGAGTTGTCAAGAAGCCCTTTGTCAGAACTGAGTAGAAGGCAAAGGTCATAGACATGGTTAAAGACATGAATTAAGGGTCTACCATTTGCTGTGTGACTGGGCAAGCTGCTTATTCTTCCTGGGTTCCTTGGAACTTCAGGTGTAATGTGGGAATCATAAATGAATTTCAGAAATAAAGTGCCTGGTCACTAGCCCTTACTCTTCAGCCCTCTAACTTACAAAATGGAGAAACTTGGAATCACAAAAGTTAGCAGGCAGCAAGGTGTGGTGGCGCACACCTTTAATCTCAGCACTGGAGAAGCAGAAGCAGGCTGATCTCTGAGTTTGAGAGGGCCAGCTGGTCTACAGAGCAAGTTCCAGGACAGCCAAGGGTACACAGAGAAACCCTGTCTCCAAAAACCAATAAAAAGCTTATGAGGCAAGCCGGGCAGTGGTAGTGCACACCTTTAATCCCAGCACCCAGGAGGCAGACGCGGGATGATCTCTATGAGTTTGAGACCAGCCTGATCTACAAGAACTAGTTCCAGGACAGGCTCCAAAGCTGCAGAGACTCCGTGTCTCGAAAAACCAAAAAGCAAGCAAACAGAAAGCATAGGAGGTTCCAGAGTTCACTTGTTTCCCTGTCAGGGAATATCATAGATTAGAGCCCCACGTGACAATGCCTTAACCTAGTTTAATTCACACTGAGCTTTCTTATACTCCCTAGTGCAAGAACGCTGCAGCTGGCTGCTTGGTGACATGTCCTCTGGCTCATCGCAAGAGTCACCAAAACTCATGCCCCTTCGAGCTGATGACCTGCCCCAATGAGGGCTGCACTGCACGGATTCTGCGTGGGGTCCTGGATGAACACCGCCAGCATTGCCAGCAGGATGGCCAACAGCGCTGCCCCTTAGGCTGTGGAGCAACTTTGGCTGCCTCGGAGGGTGAGCAACACAACTGCTACCGTGAGCTCCGTGATGCTTGGGTAGAGCGCCATGAGCGCAACCGGACCCTGCTACTGAGCCTGCTGAGGCGTGTGCGCCGGGTGCACCACACCACCAACATCATCCGCCGGCAGCTGGCACAGCTGGGCAACTTCCTGGAGGATGACTCCCTGCTTCTGAGTTCCAGGGCACAGGAAACTGAGGTTGCCCCGGAGGCTGAGATGTGGGGTGTGCAGGGCCAAGGTGTCTTATAAAGAAGTTATATAGACGCTAAGCCCAGGCCTAGCCCACCTCATATTCTGTGTGTGCTGTGTTCTTTGTTGTCCTTGTCACCTCTGCTAACCTTCCATATCAGACAATGGCATTTTCCTCCCCCGGACTTTTTTTTCTCTGACTGGATCTACCACTGAGTAGACCCTGCAAAGCTGTTCCCTTCTTCATGAACTCACTCTTCTTCCCACTTTTCTCTCATCCTAATAGCTTCCTAGCTAGTTACACAAATAACTCAATACTCTAAATCAAGAGTAGATGCCGTGTCATTTGGTGGCAGTACATACTTTTAATCTCAGCACTGGGGAGGCAGAAGCAGGATGATCTCTGAGTTTGAGGCCAGATAAACCCTGTCTGAAAAAACTAACTAACAAAAAACAAAACAAAACCACTGGCTGATCTTCTAGAGGACCTGGATTTCATTCCCAGGTTTGATTCCCAGCATCCAGCTGTTAATATAATCTGTAACTCTAGTCCAGGGGTCCAGGGGAACTTATGCTTTCTTCTGGCTTCCACAGAGATGCAAGAAAAAAAAAGGTGTAGTCCAATTATTGACCCATCATTATGTGGGTGGTCAGTATATCCTGTAAGGTGGTCTGACATGCTTTTAGAATTTGAGATCTCTTTCCAGAAGACAAACTATGCCTCTGGAGGCAGGATCTCTATGCTGTCCTTGCTGTACTAAAACATTATGTAGACCAGGCTGTCTACAAGGATCTACAAGGATCCTAGCCCCTCTTCCAAGTCCTGGGATTAAAGGCATGTACCACCATGCCTGGCCACAAGTAGCTCTGTAAATTGACTTCATGTTTGTCAATGTTTTTCTTGTTTTGACATAGGATTTCTTTGTGTATCTCTGACTGTTCAGGAACTCACTTGTAGACCAGGCTTGCCTCAAACTCAGAGATCCACCTGTCTCTGCCTCCTGAGTGCTGGTATTAAAGGTGTATGAATGTTTATATATGCATTCCTGGTGTCCTAGAAGTCAAAAGAGGACATTGAGTACCCTGGAAATGGAGTTATGGATGGTTGTGAGTCACCATGTGATTGCTGGGAATCAAACCCAGGTCCTCTTCAAGAATGAGTGTTCTAAACTGTTGAACAGTGACCATTGGGAAGGTCCAAGAATCCAGTAGGTGTTCACTCCACGAAGCTGATGTCTCAGATGGTCTTCAGTATACACCAGAATCCTGAGGAAGTGGGCAAGGAAAGGGAAGAGGAGGGGAAAGAAAAAGAAAGGAAAGGAAAAAAGACTGGCCAGTGAGACCAGCAAGCAAGCAGGCAAAGAGCAAGCATCCTTCTTCCACGTTCTTTTTATAGGCTGCCAGATGTGTCCCAGATCGAAGGTGGATCTTTCCATCTCAAAAGATTCAGATTAAGCCAGGTGCTGGTGGTGCACACCTTTAATCCCAGCACTCAGAGGCAGAAGCAGGCAGATCTCTGTGAGTTCAAGGCCTACAGAGCAAGTTCCAGTACAGTTAGGACTGTTATATAGAGAAACCTTATCTCAGAAAACCAAAATAAAAGCAAAAAAATCCAGATTACAATTGGGTCGTAACTTCAAATAATTTAACTAAGAAAAAGTTTCTACCCTGTCTCAAAAAAACAAAAAAAAAAATAAAGAAAAGAAAAAGTTCCTCAGGAAAGTCAAGAGCTGATACACAGAGAAACCCTGTCTGGAAAAACCAAGTGAATACATAAATAGATAAATAAATAAAAAGCTCTCAACCAGGAGGGTGATGGTGGCTGCCCACACCTTTAATCCAAGCACTCAGGAAACAGAGGTAAGCAGACTTCTGTGAGTTTGAGGCTAACCTGCTCTTACATAGTGAGTTCCAGGACAGTCGGGGAAACACAGAGAAGCCCTGTCTTGAAAAACCAAAAAAGAAAAGAAAAAAAAAAGAGAAAGAAAGGAAGAAGAAAGAAAGAAAGAAAGAAAGAAAGAAAGAAAGAAAGAGAAAGAAAAAAGAACCTACCTACCTAGTTAGTTACAGATGTAGTCAAGTTGAGAACCAAGAATGCCCAACAAAGGATAGTGAACTTCCCAGATAGCTGGCTTCTTCTCACCCTCCTGACCTAAGATAAACCCCTGGCAGTTTAAAACAAAAGCTTTGTGGATTTTGTTTTGTTGTTTTTTGAAACAAAGTTTCTATGTGTATAACTCTGGCTGTCCTGGAACTTGCTTTGTATACCAGGCAGGCCTTGAATTCTGAAGAGATCTTGGTTCTGCCTCCTGAGTACAGGGATTAAAGGCCATTGCAGGCCCAGGCCAGAAGCATTTTAAAGAGCAGTGAAGGTACACACCACAATGTTCAGGAGGCAGAGGCAGATCTCTAAGAGTTCAAGGCCAGCCTGAGGGAGTTCTAGGACAGCCAGAGTTACACAGTGCAACCCTGTCTCTAAATGGCCTGGACCAGAGAGATGGCTCTGCAGCCAACCTTGACTACCATACAGTTCCAGACCAGCCTAAAACTAACTGAATACATAACCATAATTTTCCTTAAGTTAAATTGTTTTGTTTTTCAAGATAGGGCTTCTCTGAGTAGCCCTGGAACTCACTCTGTAGACCAGGGTGGCCTTAAACTCAGTGATCTTCCTGACTCTGCCTCCAAGTGCTGTGATTAAAGGTGTGTACCACCACTACTTGGCTTAAATTTTATTTATTCATGTTTTTTGAGTCAGGGTTTGTGTGTAGCACTGTCTGTCCTGGAACTAGCTCTGTAGACCCAGGCTGGCCTCGAACTCAGAAATCCACCTGCCTCTGCTTCCCGAGGGCAGGGTAGAAACAGGGTGCGTGCACCACCACCGTCTGGTTTAAAATATTTTTTTTTAATGAAAAGAAAACAAGACAGCCTGGTGTTGGGGTGTTGGTAGCCCACACCTTTAAATCCCAGCACTGGAGAGGCAGAAGGCAGAGGCAGGAGAAGCTCGTGATTTCGAGACCAGTCTGGACTACAGAGTGAGTTCCAGGGCTGCACAGAAAAACCCTGTCTCGAAAAAACAAAAAAAAAAAAGAAGAAAGACAAAATTAAAACAAATAATAAATAGAAAAGACAAAATTAAAATAAATAATAAATAAAAAAATAGTAAATAAGTAGTCAAAAAATGCAAGACGTTCAGCAAGTTGGCCGCTGCTTTCAGCTTCCACTTCCGGTACCCACAGTAAAGTTGTCTCCCAGGGCGCGTACTGATGACGTCAAGGTAGTTGCAGCTCGTGATGTCATCAGAACGTGCCATGAAGTACAGAGCAGCGCGTTGTCTGTTTCACGCGGCGGAGGGCTACTGAACTTGGAGGAATCGACTGCACTCGGACATGGCCGAGCCTGCGGCCGGAGTGAGCCGCTTCAAAGCCAAGTAAGCCCTGGGCGGAGGCGCCGGCGGCGAAGGGAGATGGGTTCGCTGTCCGAGGAACCGGGAAGAGCCAGTTTAGGAGGGCGTTCACGGTGATACAGGGGGCTGAGTCCTGTGCTCAGTCAGCCCCCCTGGCTGTGTGCAGCTCTGTTTAGTGCTAGGATGGGAACAGGCCCTGCCTTTATCCTTAGTGTAGAGTTTCCACACAGTTTTTACCTGTCGCTGAGTAGATTAGATTATTGTTAGCAAAGAAAGCACCGCTGTTGGTGGGTTCACTGGGTGCAGAGCACGGGAGGCTGGTTTTATCCTGAAGGGCAGACTTCCAGGGAGTGGACTTGGGGCTGGGGGCATTGCGGGAGGTGAGCATTGGATTTGGGAAGATCAGCCCAGCCCACATACAGGATAGATGCAGAAGACCTGTCACAGCACCTGGGCCAGGAACAAGTTGACAGTTCAGAAAGATGGACAGAAGTTCTTCCTGGGCAGGGTCGCAGAAGCACGTGAGACGAAGGGAAGCTTTGAGCATTGCGATGTCACCCATCGGCTGTTCTATTTTTTTTTTTTTTTTTTCGAGACAGGGTTTCTCTGTGGTTTTGGAGCCTGTCCTGGAACTAGCTCTGTAGACCAGGCTGGTCTCGAACTCACAGAGATCCGCCTGCCTCTGCCTCCCGAGTGCCATCGGCTGTTCTAAAGGGCACTAGACAACAGAGATGGAAGGGTAGGCAGGGCACCCAGTGAGGAAACTGGTAAGGCCACTTCCCTCACCCCCCAGGAAACTGCAGTGGCTAGGCTTGGACCAAAGCAGTGGAGAAAATGGGAAAGAGGACAGCTAGTTGGGGAGAAACCAAATGAGGCTGAGGCAGGAGGAGGGAGACTTGGTAGTGTAGTGGCATGCTGGGCCTCACTGGTGAAGACCTCGAGAGTGTGTTACGTTTTTCTGGCCTCCCCCAGCTAGCAGGGAGCCTCCAAAAGCCTCTCTTCTGAAGCCTGGTCTGTTGCCTTCACCTTATTCAGGCCCACCTCTTCAAGTTATATGACAGACCCCTTGAGGGCCAAGAGGCATGATCACCAACTAGCCTTGAGTCTCAACCTTTCTGTGAGGTGATGATAGCATCCACCCTCTGAGCTATTAGGGCTTTTTTGTTTGTTTGTTGTTGTTGTTGTTTTTGTTGTTGTTTTGCTTGTGTGTGGGTTTTTTGTTTTGTTTTTCTCGAGACAGGGTTTCTTTATATAACAGTCCTAGCTGTCCTGGAATTAGCTCTTGTAGACCAGGCTGGCCTCAAACTCACAGAGATCCACCTGCCTCTGCCTCCCAAGTGCTGGGATTAAAGGCGCTCGCCACCACTGCCTGGCTGAGCTGTTAGTTTTTATCTCTAGGTTCCTGCCGCTGCCTAGGTACTCTGCAAGGTCAAGGATTTGACTCATCTCTGGGAGAACATCCAGCACAGGGCTTGGAATGGGGCGAGGGACTTGGGCAATCACTCAATACTGTATTTTCTTTCCAGCTATGCTATTGAGCGAAAGATTGAACCTTTCTACAAGGGTGGGAAAGCACAGGTAACTATCTCCATGGGCAGCTAGGGAACAAAGGGATAGGGAATACTGAGTGGTTCCTTGACTGAGACCCCTTTTTCCCTAGCTGGACCAGACCGGCAATTACCTCTTTTGTGTCTGTGGTACCAAAGTCAACATCCTAGACGTGGCCTCAGGGGCTTTGCTTCGGAGCCTGGAGCAGGTGAGGACAGGCTAGGCCGGTGTGAGGGGCTTGAGGGGAAAGTAGCATATTTTTATGATGCTCTGTATTCCCACTCTCCCCTTAGGAAGACCAAGAGGACATTACTGCCTTTGACCTCAGTCCTAATGATGAAGTATGATGGGAAGGGGTGGTGGGTAAGCGCTGGTACCTTCCTTCCACACTGAATTGGCAAATGTGTCTTATCCCCTGGCTGTACTGTCTTACCCTGCCCCCAGGTCCTGGTAACAGCCAGCCGGGCACTGCTGCTGGCTCAGTGGGCCTGGCGAGAAGGCACCGTCACTCGTCTGTGGAAGGCGATACACACAGCCCCTGTGGCCTCCATGGCTTTCGACACCACCTCTACACTGTTAGCTACAGGTCGGACCCCAGCTAGGTGGGGGCGCTGGAGGGCACAAGGGCAAGGACTCTGTACACCTTTACCTCAAACACATTCCCACAGGTGGCTGTGATGGCGCCGTTCGTGTCTGGGACATTGTGCAACATTATGGGACACACCACCTCCGAGGCTCCCCTGGTGTCGTTCAGTGAGTGGCTTGGTGGAGGAAGGGTGGCTAGAAGTACTGCCCTTGGAAGTACGGCTAATTCATCTCTATCTTGCTCCAGTTTGGTGGCCTTCCATCCAGACCCCACTCGTCTGCTGCTCTTCTCCTCAGCCGTGGACACCTCTATCCGTGTGTGGTCCCTGCAGGACCGCTCGTGCCTGGCCGTTCTGACCTCGCACTACAGTGCTGTCACGTCCCTCTCCTTTAGCGAGGATGGCCATACCATGCTCAGGTCAGCGGCTGGCCACACAGGGCTCGGGCAGAAGGGGAGGCCAAGGCTGAGCTTGGAACTGAGGGATCTGTTTCTCCTCAGTTCTGGCCGTGATAAGATCTGCATAGTCTGGGACCTTCAGAGCTACCAGGCCAAGAGGACAGTGCCGGTGTTTGAGGTATGGCCTGGCAAGCCAGGGCCAATGAAGGGGGCAGGGATGGGAGTCCTGGCTGTATAGGCCCTGACCCTGCTCATCCACAGAGCGTGGAAGCTGCTGTGCTGTTGCCTGAGGAGCCGGCACCTGCGCTGGGTGTGAAGAACTCAGGCCTACACTTCTTAACAGCTGGTGACCAAGGTGTGGGGAGGCTGGCCACATGTACATGAGGGGTGGGGAGAAGCCTGTGGACCTCATCCCCCAACAGCCCTGTCCTCATACAGGGATCCTCCGTGTGTGGGATGCTGCTTCTGGGCAGTGTGTGTATACCCAGCCACAGATGCCAGGACTAGGGCAGGAGCTGACCCATTGTACTCTGGCCCGCTCTGCGGGCCTGCTCCTCACTGTCACCACCGATCACAACCTGCTCCTTTATGAGGCACGTTCTTTACAGCTGCAGAAACAGGTTAGCACTTCCTCCTGCCCAGTGCAGGGATTGGGGGTTAGGCTTCCTTTCTTACAGGCCCTCACTATGACTTTCCTGTCTCCCACAGTTTGCCGGCTATAGCGAGGAGGTGTTGGATGTTCGGTTCCTTGGGCCCAATGATTCCCACATTGTTGTGGCTTCTAACAGCCCTTGCCTGAAAGTGTTTGAGCTGCAGACTTTGGCCTGTCAGATCCTCCATGGTCACACAGGCAGGTTATGCCCTCTGACATCCCTGGCACCTTAGCTTGGCTTTGACAGCTTCCCTTCCCTGCCCCCTTTGCATAGTTCATCTCTGACCACTCTTTCCCCACTCTTCCAGACATTGTCCTGGCCCTGGATGTGTTCCGGAAGGGGTGGCTTTTTGCCAGCTGTGCCAAGGTGAGACTCCATACGAGATACAAAGGAACAGGCCTCCAAAGTGAAAACAAAGGCAACGGCCCCATGACCCATCGCCTTTCTTCCATCCCTGTCTGCAGGATCAGAGCATACGCATCTGGAGGATGAACAAGGCTGGCCAGGTGGCTTGTGTTGCTCAGGGCTCCGGACACACACACAGCGTGGGCACCATCTGCTGTTCTAGGTACTGGATGAGGAACGGACCCAGGGGTATCCAAGGAGGTAGAGGCCCAAGCTATTGGTTTCTAGCCCAGGGTGGAGAATGGGTGTGCTGGTTTTACCACACTCTGAGGCTTTCACAAGGATGTAGAACAGAGAAGAGGCCCAAGGAGACTCAGGTGCCCTGGCAGATTTCTTGGAAGTGGCCTTGGAAGGTGGACAACATAGGAAGGACTTGAGACAGACAAAATGGCACTGAACAAGGTCCTGCTGGAGGAGGTGACCTTCATTAAGAGCTTGACTCTGGTTGGGACCAGTTGCTAGGTGTGGTGACTCTAAGGATAGGTGGTGCAAGCAGAGGCATTGGTGGCAATGTAGACCAATCTACAGCCTGAGACGATCCCTCTGGTCCTGATGATGGTCTGGAAGGCCAGAGCTTGGTACACTGCAGACAGTGTCCTTGGACCTGAGCAGTGTCTTCCTTTCTTGTTGGCTACAGGCTAAAAGAATCTTTCCTGGTGACGGGCAGCCAGGATTGCACTGTGAAGCTGTGGCCCCTCCCTGAAGCCCTGTTGTCCAAGAACACAGCTGTGGACAGTGGCCCGATGCTTCTGCAGGCCCAGACCACTCAGCGCTGCCATGACAAAGTAGCCGCACATGGCCTCTGGGATGGGGTGTGGCTGATCCCTAGCGTGGAGTGAGTGTCTGAGTTTTACCACCTGCTCTCATCACCAGGACATCAACAGTCTGGCTGTCTCCCCCAATGACAAGCTGTTAGCCACAGGCTCACAGGACCGCACAGCTAAGCTCTGGGCCTTGCCTCAGTGCCAATTGTTGGGTGTTTTTTCTGGCCACCGACGTGGCCTCTGGAATGTCCAGTTCTCACCCACAGACCAGGTGCTGGCCACAGCCTCTGCTGATGGCACCATCAAGCTCTGGGCACTGCAGGACTTCAGTTGTCTCAAAGTAAGTGTTTCCCCTTGTCCTGTTTCCCCCCTCTGGTAACAGTTCATACTCATAAGGCTTGGGTCCCTCTCTGTCTCCCCTGCAGACCTTTGAGGGCCATGATGCTTCTGTGCTGAAGGTGGCCTTTGTGAGCCGTGGCTCACAGCTGCTATCTAGGTGAGTGGGCTAGGAGAGGGCTGGGGGTGTGTAGTGGGGATCATGCCTCTAAACTAAGTCCTTCCGTTTTCAACCTCAGTGGTTCTGACGGGCTTCTGAAGCTGTGGACCATTAAGAGCAATGAGTGTGTGCGGACACTGGATGCTCACGAGGACAAGGTCTGGGGGCTGCACTGTAGCCGACTAGATGACCACGCCATCACCGGGGGCAGTGACTCCCGAATCATTCTCTGGAAGGTTGTGAACCCTAAGGGGTGGGATGAGGCAGGGCATGGGACAGCACTGGGGCTTGTCTGATCCTAATTTGATCCCAGGATGTGACAGAGGCCGAGCAGGCAGAAGAGCAGGCCAAACGGGAAGAGCAGGTGATCAAGTAAGTCTGGGCTCAGTGGCACCCGCTGCATACCCTCAGCAGACCTCTTCATGCCCACAGTACCCTTGCACGTCTCCAGCATAGCATCTCCTAGAGCCCTAAGCAGCGGTAGCCCCTGTAATCCCTGCTGTGAGGCATAGGAAGCAGGTTGAGGTAGGGCTCACGCCTGTGGCTCTTGGGCCCAGCCAGGGTCTCCGATTGATGTCTTTTTCCTCTATCCCACCAGGCAGCAAGAACTGGACAACCTGCTCCATGAGAAGCGGTATCTCCGGGCACTAGGACTTGCCATCTCCCTGGACCGCCCCCACACTGTACTGACTGTTATCCAGGGTTAGTATCTGCCCCAGTGCAGGCTGGGGTTGGGATAGCCCCAGGGACCAACAAACCCTTTCTTTAAGCTGACTTCCCTCTCACAGCCATCCGGAGGGATCCTGAGGCCTGTGAGAAGCTGGAAGCCACTGTGCTCCGACTGCGACGAGACCAGAAAGGTTGTGGGCAAGCTGGAAGGGATCAGCCTGGGGAGGGGGTGACCTGGTGGGCAGAACACGGTGGAATGGCCCAACAAACGGGGTGTCTGTCCCTGTACTCACAGAGGCCCTGCTGCGCTTCTGTGTCACATGGAACACCAACTCCAGACACTGTCACGATGCCCAGGCCGTGCTGGGTGTGTTGCTGCGGCATGAGGCCCCCGAGGAGCTGCTGGCCTATGATGGTGTGCGGGGTACACTGGAGGCCCTGCTGCCCTATACCGGTATGGGACATGGCCTTAGACCCCGGGATGCCCCTGGAGGGTTTGCAGACAGCCCTCTCTTCCCCCAGCCCCAACTCCTCTGTCTTCCTCCAGAGCGGCACTTTCAGCGGCTTAGCCGGACGCTACAAGCAGCCACCTTCTTGGACTTCCTGTGGCACAACATGAAGCTGTCCCCACTCCCTGCTGTTCCCCCAGCCCTGTGAGACACATAAAAGTTGAACTTTTCTATCTCGGCTTCTCATGTGAATCTGACCAATCTCCCCCAAAATCACTGGCCACATTGGTCCACCGTAAATTTCAACTGTAGAAGTTCAAGCCCTCCCCCCCCCACCCCATTTCAAGCCCTCACGGCACAATGAGATTAGGTGAAATCATTCCACTTTTATTTAGAGAAAATGGGAAGTTGTGGCCCCTTGTCCCTGTCACCCATCCAGCCCCACCTTATCCTGCTCTCTTGGCAGGTCTGGATCCCTGCTTTGCTTGTGGTTGGGGTTGACAATACAACCTCTCTACAGGGCTACACAAATCCTCAAAGGGGACCCAGGGTCCTTTGGTCCTGTCCCAGTGCCCTGCGGGTGATAGTGCAGCATCGGCTTTGAATGGCACTCACACAGGGGCGAGTTGGTACTACAGGGGGAACAGGCCTGTCTGCAGCCACCTTGTCTTCCCTACCGCCTGGGAGCCTTGTCCTGCCCAGCAGGGAACCCAGCCCTTCAGGCTGCAGCAGTACTGCAGGAAACAGACCTTCCTGGCCATTGTACCTACGAAAAAGGCAGGGCTTAGTTAAGGATTTACCTGATGTGCCCCTCCTGCCAGGCAGCACCTGCCATTGCTCCAACACATGCACACACGTGTGTGAGCACACTCACTGTACCTGCACAGCCACCAGCCGCGGTCTGAGGGTTCCAGCACATGCACGCGTGCCCCTGCAGGCACTGATAGCTCATCAGTACGACTGCCCTCATAGGCCTGAGTAGCACAGAACTGCATCCCTAGGGTGGGTGTTTGGGGGTCACTGGAGAACTGTAAGGCCAGAGTCCTGACCTTTCTCCTGGTGCCCCACTGTCACCTCCCTCCTGAGCTTGCTCTCAGCCTTGCTGCAGGTCCATTCTTAGTGGTGAGCTTATGGTAGGGATGGGCTCATACCTCTGCATTGCAAAGCCAGGCCTAATTCCTGGTTCTGGCCTAGGGCTCCTTCCTCCAGGTAGGGAGCTGGAAACCAGGCCTTCTGCTGATCCTTATTCTCCACCAGCCACCAGCCTGTTCAGGAGGCCAGGAAAGGGCTCAGATGCCAAGGCCTGCATCCATCTTGGTCAGAGAGCAGATGTTTTGTTTCTTTTGTTTTTGGAACTCACTATAGACCAGACTGGGCCTGAACTCTCAGAGATCCATCTGCCTCTGCCTTAGGTTCTTGGATTAAAGGCATGCGCCACCATCACCCAGTTGTCCCCAGGGTTTTTTTTTTTTTTTTTTTTTTTGGTTTTTCGAGCTTTGTTTTTCGAGTTTCTCTGTAGCTTTGGTGCCTGTCCCGGAACTAGCTATTGTAGACCAGGCTGGCCTCGAACTCACAGAGATCCGCCTGCCTCTGCCTCCCGAGTGCTGGGATTAAAGGCGCGCACCATCACCGCCCAGCTTGTCCCCAGGTTCTTAATACTGTGGCCCTACCTGATGGATGTCGAAGTAATACATCCAGAATTTCTTGAGCCTGTGTGTGAAAAGGCCTGTCTCTTGTGTCATGGGTGTAGAATGGCTGTAAACAGCGCATGCTCTGAGCCTCCAGGCTATGAATGGTAAGGCTGCTTGCGGGTTGAGATGACGGCTCCTCTGGTGTGGGCAGGATCACCAGGCTGGGCAGGGCAGCCAGCACGTGTGAAAAATGAGAAGACAGGATGGGAACCCCTCTCCCCACCTATGCATAGGCCAGCCCAGCCTTCTCATCTTAGTCACCTGCCGGGAGGCAGCGTAGGCTCCAGATCCAGAGGTCTGGGTGCAAAGAAGTCACTGAGCGCCGAGCTCCTCAATACGTGTTCGGAGGTTGCCAGCAGAGCCTGTACGTAGGTCTTCAGCAGCCGCAACCGCGCCAGGCCTCGGCCAGTATGCCCCCGGCGCGTCAGCAGTGGAGCGTCTGCCCGGGTACCACAGAAACACACTGGGACCACGCCCCCACGCTTGTTTGCCAGACCTCCCCTGTGACCACCCGGTAACCCCTGTAGGCCTGACCAGGAAGCTTGGGAAGAACGCGGTCAGATCTCCGGAGCAGGCCCGCCTCCACCGGGAAGATTTTCTTAAGGCCCTTCTGAGGGGGAGAGGCAGGCATCAGTCTCCAAAAGTGGAGAGAACCCCAGGGAGAGGGAGGGAGGGTCCCTGGAAGAGTTCCTACAAGCAGGCAGGGAGGTCGTGTATCTAGAGGCCTCTGGATTGGGGGGTGAGCCCCCCATTTGAAGTAGTCCCAGTGTTACTCACCTGGAGCTGCCTGAACTCATCCCAGCTCCTGCGAACAGAGGAGTCACTGTCGTCTGACCAGCGCACGGAGAAGGCAAATGTCTGCGTGAGGAAAAGTGGAGGTGCCATCTCCCCTCAGACTTTGTCACCTTACCCTACGGGCAGGGGAGGATGGTGGGCCGTGTGGTCCTACCTGGAGTCGCTCCATCTGCACCAGGGCTACCGCATGCGCTGATACAGGGTGTCGTGGACCTGCCATTGTGCCTTCTGCTGGGTGCTCTAAGGGGCTCAGAGCAGCCGGAAGAAGTGAAATGGAATTTCCTCCGCACTGCCCTAAACCCCAGTCCCTGCAGAGCGTTCACACCTGGAAACTTCTGTTTCCTGGTTGTTCTTCAAGCACAAAATCTAAGGATTCATCACCGGAGGACTAGTGCTGGGGGAGGGGCAAGCCGGGGCAGGTGGGAGGATAAATGAAGTCCTTTGTACTGGAACTGCCACCGGGGGCCTCTCCTCCCCTAGCCAGCAGAGGAAAGGAGGTAGGCAGTTCCTTGACCAAGTGCTGCCTCCGCCTCACCTGCCCCCTCGGCCTCTTCCCCGCCCTGCTGTTACCTCCTCCCAAGGTGTGCCTAACAGCACGGTTTTTAAATTTGCCTGTGGGGCCATATGCTGCTGTCCTCCGAGCCAACTATTTCACCCCGGGTCCTTTTAGGTTTGGTTTTTGTTTGTTTTGGGGGGGTTGAGATAGGGTTTTGCTAATTCGCAAAGGCTGGCTTTAAACTTGTGATATTCCTGCCTCAGTGTCCTGAGAGCTGAGGCTCAGACCTGTGTAACAAGGCCATGGCCATGAAACCTACCTCTTTCCTTGGTCAAGTCTTAGCATCGCCTTAAGCAACTGGTTCTTTCAGAAGCATTGGAAGATGAAAGAGCAACAGGAAAGGGCTGAGTCCCTACCACTAGGGCCTCACCACCAACAGGTGGCCTGTCGGCCCTACCAACCCTAGCCGCCCTCTACTCAGTCACCACAGCCACCGCCTCCTCTCACATAGATGCACACGGAGGAGCCCAACTCTGGCCAGAGGTTCCTCACAACTGGAGAGGTGGGTCAGATAAGAGCACTGGCTGCTCTTCCAGAGGACCCAGGTTCAATTCCCAGTGCCCACATGGGAGCTCACCACTGTCTGTTCCAGGGAATCTGACATACTCATGCAGACATACATGCAAGACAAACACCAATGCACAGAAAATAAGAATTAAAAAAAAACTGGGCTGAACAGATAATTACAGGTGGTGCATGCCTTTAATCCCAGCACAGGAAGGGAAGCAGAGGCAGGAGAATCTCTTGAGTTTGGGGTCAGCTTGGTCTAAAGAACGAATTCCAGGACAACCAAAGATGCACACACACTCACTCTCACAAAATAGGAGAAATACTGAAAAATAGAAATGGGATCAGGTCAAGACAGCTTTGTCCCAAATTGCCCAATGTCTCCTACTGTTTTAGAGCAAATCCCAGTTTCTAGCATGGTGGTGGGCTATTGCCCAACTCTGAATCCTGGCCTCCATCTTCCTCCCCAGAGTTCTGTCCCCAATGGCCTAGTGTTTCTGTAAAATGCAGATAGCCTGAGTTGGTACCTCTCCCTACAGGCCTGTGCCTAAGGGTCTCCAATTTAGGAGAGCTCTATTTCCATACTCTATACATGGCTTTCACCAGTTCGGAAATAAAATTTATTCCAGTGACTGGGTTTTCCCCATCTTCACCCCTGGTCAAAGGCCAAAGAGGCCAGGGACAGAAGCTTGTTCCTTATTCTGCTCAGTGCCGGAAGCAGCGCTTGGAGCAGGGTATCACTGTACAAATATTTGCAGGTGAATGAATGAACACATGGAGGCAGGGGAAGGAACTCTTCCTGTGATGACCCAAGCTTTTAAGTCAAGTTCTTGAGGAGGTGCTGGTGGTGGCAGAAGATTGAATAATTTAGCGTCATCTTCACTCAACTACATAGAGTTCGAAGTTAGCCCAAGTCACAAGAGACCTTGTCTCAAAAGAAAAAAAGGAATACCTGAGGCTGAAATAGGCATAATAACTTTTTATTTCCAGGTTTTAGGCTGGGGACCCGCCCTCAGACTCTCCTAAGGTTCCCCGCCCCAATAACTAGGGCAAAGGTCGACCCTGGCCCCTGGCTCAGTATGGTCCGTGAGACCACGCCCCGCGCCGCGTTGCCAAGGCACCCAAAAGCGTCCTACGGCAGAAAGGCCCAAAACTTGGCCGCTGGTTAGGGTGTGAACCGAGCGACGGGGGCGACGCGAGAAGCTTCTCGGACCTCGTCTCAGCCCGAGTTCTCAGCGGGGCCGCAGCGCACCTCCCACAACCCACGACACTTCTGCTGGAGGAAGCCCGAGCGCCACCATGGACCACGCGCGCCCGGCCCGCGGCGGGCAGCCAGGCGCAGGAGCACCAGCCAAGCCCGAGCCGCAGCCCCCTGTGCCGCCTCGGCCCCTGCCTCCAGCCCCGCCTCCTCTCGCGCCCAGGCCTCCCGCTCCGCCCCGACCGGGGCCGCCGCCTCGGCCCTCAGCCCCGCCCCGCCGCCAGGCTCCGCCTCCCGCCCCAGCGTGAGCCCAGCTCCGGGCCGCGGTTCCCGCTCCTGCCGCCGCGCGCTGGCCTTGGCGTGCGCGCCGGCCCGGCCGACCTTCCGGAGCCTCTCTTGGCCCCGCCGTCCGTACGCCGGCAAGATGGCGGCGCCCAGCGAACCCGCGGGCTTCTCTCGCAGCGGTCTCTTCTCCTTCCTGCCCGGCGGCGCGCGCTCCCAGATGACCGACGACGACTTGGTGACTGACGCGCGGGGCCGGGGCGCAGGGCATAGAGACGCCGCCGCCTCCGCCTCCGCCTCGGCCTCGGCCCCGCAAGGTTTGGAGCACGGAAAGCGGCCGTGCCGGGCCTGTGTGGACTTCAAGTCGTGGATGCGGACCCAGCAGAAGGTGCAGATGCCCCACCTGGCCGCCCGGTCGCGGTTCCCCGCCCCACACCGGGTTTCTCAGGGTTGGCTATGCCTAAACACGTCCATCCCCTCACCCACACACACCGTTAGGCTCGAACTTTGAGCTTTCAGCCACCGGCTGGCCGGATCGAATTAGTGGGCTGCCAACTGAAAAAGGGAGCATTCTTGTCAATTTTATTTTTTTGGTGATACTGGGAATCCGAACCCAAGTCCTCTGGCGTGCAACGCAAACAGTATGCCACTGGGTTGGAATTTTGTGGGCTTTTGGTTGGGGAAGAATGAACTGACCCTTAGTCGGCCTACTTCTGCAGCGGGACATCAAGTTTAGGGAGGATTGCCCACAGGATCGGGAGGAACTGGGTCGCCACACCTGGGCTTTCCTCCACACGCTGGCCGCCTATTACCCGGACATGCCCACCCCAGAACAGCAGCAAGATATGGCCCAGTTCATACATATATTTTCCAAGTTTTACCCCTGCGAGGAGTGTGCGGAAGACATAAGGAAGAGGTAAGTGTGCAGTATCTCTGCCAGTAAGACCCCTGATGGGAGCCTGGCAGATGTCATAAGAGGGGCCTAGGAAAATGGTTGCAGGAGAGAGGGGTCACCAAAAGGGATGTTGGGTCATGGGAGCCTTCTCCTTTCTCCTCAAAAAGCTCAGTTCTGTGGATCGTTATCCTTAAGGTTTTTAGGAAGGGCTTCCTTCCACTTCCTAAAGATTAACTAAGAGTCCACTTTGCCTAACTTCCCTAATCCCTCAGCGTGGTTACTGATTTTAAAAACGGGAATGAACTGGGGGGTGGTGGCACAGGCCTTTAATCCCAGCACCCAGGAGGCAGAGGAAGGTGCTTCTCTGAGAGTTCAAGGACAGCCAGGGCTATAGGGAGAAACCCTGTCTCAAGAAATCCAAAACCAAACAAAAAAACAGGAATGAAATAAACTATCACTCTCAATGGCTTAACCTGTATTTCTAGGTTGGACCTGTTGAGCAGTTGTGCTTGCTTTTTGAAGCCTAGACAAGTTAGGCATGAGGGTGATCTCTTGTTAACAGGGCCCACGGTGCTATGAAACACTCTCTTGTGCCAGGCCCCACCTGTCTCTACTCTGCCTGGGGCTAGAGACCAAGGGACAATGCTCCCTGATTGTTACAAGGTTGTAAAGTTACCTGCCTCAGTCAGTATATCTTTCTCTGGGCTCTTGCCAAGTCAGGTGAATGAGTGAGCAGCCCTGGAAGTTGCCCAAGCCCAGGAGACTCCAGAGTCAACCCTGCTCATCATCTGCTTGGAACACGAATGCATTCCCAAGTTTAATTCATAGCAGTGCCCCCCCCCCCCAGCTCCCTGTCTCCAGGCACTGGCAAGAACAGAGCCAACACCTCCTTATCGTCTTCCTGTGCTTCTCTCACAAAGGATAAGCAGGAACCAGCCAGACACAAGCACTCGGGTCTCCTTCAGCCAGTGGCTGTGCCGTCTGCACAATGAGGTGAATCGGAAGCTGGGCAAGCCTGATTTTGACTGCTCCCGAGTAGATGAGCGATGGCGTGACGGCTGGAAGGACGGCTCCTGTGACTAGAAGATTGTCAGCAGAGCGTGTGGGGCATCTGGCCAGCGAGGGAGGGACAGCCTATTGATTAAAGTGCATCTGAGCCAAAGCTTTTCTTCGGTGGGGTGGGGGAGGTAGGGTCCCTAGGACACTGCCAATGGGAACCCTACCCACAAGATTGAGAAGTGGAGGTACCCACTGTGGCCTCCTCAGCTAAGGTGCCATGGCACTGAAGATGAGTGGCATCTTTCGACAGGCTGCCCCATATCCTTTATAATGCAGCCCATTACACAGCTGGGACATGGCCGCCCATAGGAAGACAGGCTAAGACCATTGCCATCCTACTGCACTGCCAGGGGTGCCTACAGAACTGTGACCCTGTCAGCTCTGCACTCTGTTCCCAGCTCTAGGAAGGTTTTTCTCTGAGGGTGTGCCCACCGTACTGCCCATTGCCTGCCTGGCACATGTTCTTCCACAGCTGTGACATGCTTGTCAGCAGATGATCCTGAGTATCTGCTCCCTTAGGAGTTGGAAACCAAAATAAAATGAAGTGACGTAGGGCCTTGTCTTTGTGTGCTTTGTACTGATGGACGGGCCTGCTTTGCTTTTCTGTGATTGGTTGGATCATTTTGTACTGGCAGAAGTCACTATGGAGTGGCTGAGACAAGCTCTTCGTGAAGTCAGAATTCCCAGGGTGAGAAAGAAACTGAAGATGACTAGGACACTATGGGATACAAATGGGGAGCAGCCAGAGTGTTGGCAGCTAGGAATTTGGGGTACACCCTCCAGTTGGGCTCCTCTGGATCTGCTCAGTTCAGTCTGCCCTTTGGCGAGGCTCCCAACTAGAGCATCCCAGTAACAGTGCGTAAAGATACTATTCTTTGCTGTGTCGGCCCTTCTGTGGGTGAGGACTAGCTGGGTATGACTTCCTTGTGCTGGCTGTTTCTCCAGCACCCATGTAGTGACTCCAGTCCCAGGGGATCCAATACCATGGGTCCAGGTACAAAAGCCCATACAGAAATACATACAAGGGCAAACACTCAAAACACATTTATTTGTTGTCTGTGTCTCCCTGCTTGTTTTCTCTGTGTAGCCCTGGCTGGTCTAGAACTCTCTCTGTAGACCAGGCTTGCCTTGAACTCACAGAAATCCACCTGCCTCTGCCTCCTGAATGATGGGATTAAAGGTGTGCACCACCACTGCTTACTTCAAAACATTACAAAAAGAAAAGGAAAAGAAAAGCCAGGTGTGACACAAGTGCCTTTGCCTTCAGCACCAGCGCTCAGGATGCA